GGGGGGCCCCCGGGGGGGCGGGGGGCCCTGCGGGGCCCCCTGGGGGGCCCCCGGGGGGGCCCCACTCTTCGGGGGGGGCCCCGGGGGGGCCCCCAGGGGGGCCCCCAGAGGGGGCCCCAGAGGGGGCCCCAGGGGCGCCCTCAGGAAGGGCCCCAGCGGGGGCCCCAGGGAAATCCCCAGGGGGGCCCCCTGGGGGGCCCCCAGAGGGGCCCCCAGAGGGGCCCCCAGGGGGGCCCCCAGGGGGGCCCCCAGGGGGGCCCCCGAGGGGGGCCCCGGGGGGCCCCCGGGAAAGAGGTGTTCGCCACCAACTTGGGGCCTGGCGCTGGGCCATGGGGACCCAGTAGTAAGGAGTGGTGGGGTCTTGGCGGCCTATAAGGGCGAGGGGCAGCTGCTGCTGCTGCTGCTGCTGCTGCTGCTGCTGCTGCTGCTGCTGCTGGGCAGCAGCAGGCGCTGCAGGGGTGGCGAACTCGGGGGCCTGCATGGGGGAAAAGCGAGACAGCAGCTCCTTATTTGCTGCTGCTGCTTCCTGCCAAGTTAAGCTGAGGCCCTGGATGAAGGGCTGCTGCTGCGGCTGCAGCAGCACGGGACTTTCTGCTGCTGCGCTGCTGCTGAAGAGTTGCTGCTGCTCCGCCGTGTCAGTCAGCGGGTCCCACAGCAGCTGCAGCAGGTCCACGCGGGCCCCTTCCTCCAGCTCTTGCTGCTGCTGCTGCTGCTGCCGCTGCTGCCGCTGCTGCCGCTGCTGCCGCCGCCGCCGCGTCATCCGCAGCCCGCGCCGCGTCGCTGCTGCTGCTGCTGCTGCTGCTGCTGCTGCTGCTGCTGCTGCTTCCCTCGAGGACCGCTTGCTGCGCTCCAGCTCGTCAGGGGCAGCTGCGAGAAGGTCGCCTTCCTCTGTGGGGTCTTCGCTGCAGCTGCCGGGCTGCAGCAGCAGCAGCAGCAGCAGCAGCAGCAGCAGCAAGCTGCCGCGGGACCGCAGCAGCCCTTGCTGCGCGTTGCTCTGTTGCATCGGTGCAGCAGCAGAGGACAAGAAGGGGTGCAAAACTAGTGTCTGCTGCAGCTGCTGCTGCTGCTGCTGCTGCTGCTGCTGCTGCTGCTGCAGGGCCACACAAGGCAGCAGGGCTCGCAGCCTGGGATCGGGGAGCGACTCCAGGAGCTTTTGCTGCACCCGAGGGGCTCGGGTTATAGGGCCTACTAGGGTTTAGGGTTTAGGGTTTAGGGTTTAGGGTTTAGGGTTTAGGGTTTAGTGTTTAGAGGTTTGGGGAGAGTTTCGACGAATTGCGGGACTCTTCGACCATCGCTCAGGGCCTGCGCCTGGAGACAGTTGCTGCTGCAGCGGTCGCTGCCGCCGCAGCAGCAGCAGCAGCAGCAGCAGCAGCAGGATTTGTTAAGGCTTGCTGGCAGCTGCTGCTAAGGGCATAAATGCAGCAAAAGGAGGCCTAAGGCTTAAGTATGGAGCAGCAGCTGCTGCTGAGGGTTTATACGCTGGGTCCTGCTGCAGTGGGCAGCAGCCGCTCGATGCACCAGCAGCAGCTGGAGCGCTCGCAGCAGCAGCAGCAGCAGCAGCAGCAGCAGCAGCAGCAGCACTTGCTGCTAAGGAATGCAGCAAATTAATTGAAGCCCTTGATGCACACTTCAAATACTTCCAACACAAATTAAAAATAAATAAATTGAGGCCTAAAGATCCCCCAATAAGGCAGCAGCAGCGCGTGCGCGCTCAAGGAGCGGCGGCCGATCGAGCACTGGTGCTGCTGCTGCTGCTGCTGCTGCTGCTGCAGCTGCTGCTGCAGCAGCGACAGCATCTTCAGGAGGCTTTTACCTGCTGCACTCTGCATTCATTTGTGCCTAAGTGTGTGCCGAGCTGCTGCTGTTGCTGCCAGGGGCTGCGGGCTGTGGGGTGTCGGCTGGGCTTGAAGCTCCCGCTGCTGCTGCTGCTGCTGCTGCTGCTGCTGCTGCGTTTCTCGAGATCCTTTGCAGCCCCCAGTCTTATTTGACTATTTTAAAGTTAATTTATTATTTTAAAAACATTTTAAAACCTTTAAATGCCTTTCTTAAAGCCCCAGTCCTCCCAGAGGCTCCGCGTGGCGCAGCAGCGCGAGCCTGACCGGCTTGCACGTTCTCGGGTGTCTGTACACTCCAACATGCAGAACTTGAATTTCAAACAAAGACTTATAAATCATTTTATTTATTTCTTTTATTTAAATATTTATTTCTTTTATTCAAATATTTAAGCCCTTTCTAAGTATGGGAGGCCAGCTGGACAGCCTCAAACCCCAGTGTCCTCTAGCAACCTGTGCTGCTGCTGCAGCTGCTGCTGCTGCAGCTGCTGCTGCTGCAGCTGCTGCTGCTGCAGG